TTTGCCCTGCCCGGGCAGATTGCATTGTGAGAGCGGCAGCTGCTGACATAGCCTGAACAATGTGCCCTGCCCTCCTGCGCCGAGGTTTCGTCCTTTGTGGTTATGCCTGTAACTGGGGCTTTTGTTTCTCAGCCGCAAACCCTTTTGAAAAAATAATTCGGACTTTATCACGTGAATACGATTTTGGAGGGGGGGGGGAAATGGAACAATTGCCAAATGAACTTCAGTGGCCCAGGGTGATTCAATAAGTAATCACAGCTGAAAATAGAGGTCATTGAACGCAATCTTAAGTCAATAAGTGCCCAGTCCTGTCTGGCAACTGCAAGTTTACTGAACTCAAGACCAACTGTACCACGGCCTCCATTCAGTTATGCACACTTTGCCTTATAGGAGAATAAAGCAAAGGCATAGGCTTGTTCACAATCACCTCCTTTTCACAAAAAAACAATATTGATATTAATTTTAGAAAAATGATTTCTATTTAGGATACTAATATCAACAGTGCTAAGAAGCAGCAGTGGAAAACCACTGCTGTAATCATTCAAGGTTCATGGCAAAAAGCAATAAGTAGAGTGGTTTTCTTACACTGTTAAGTGCAGATGGTGACAGTTTTAAGATCACTAGCAAAGCAAACAGAAAATTAGAAATCATTAAGCAACACAAACCTAAAAGAAGGAAGCAACAGTCTTTTCTTCAATATAAGGGCCTGCTAGGACAAAAATCATAAGCAAGAATAGTCTCTGGGTTTTGAGGAAAAGCCATTCTAATCAAAAGGAGATTATTTTCCCTAACACGTATAGGTAGCAAGTCTCTCTTCAGACTTACAATCTCTCTTCAGAGACTGTAAAATAAAACTGATGGAAAATGACCTAGCATTATTAAAACACTGCTGCATTAATACTCATTCAGTAATACTTTTTCATACTGAAAATGAGATCTTGAGGTTTGAGAAATATTATTTTCAGACAGACCTATTACTACCAGTAATTTTTTTTTCTGCTCCATCGCTACAGGTGTCCTGTGTGATGCAATATATTAATGAACATTTATTTGGTTCTACCTGCTTTCCAATCTCTTGGATCCCTTCTCACCTTTATTTTTCTCCTCTGTATTCGTGACACTGTGACACCAATAGCTATTTTAACAATGTCTAAGTCGTGTAAAAATGGAACTCAGACAGAGTTTTTACTGCTATTTTGACCTTGCCTAAGAATTTGCAAATAAGGCAAATCTGCCAAACCATTTATATTTAATCTGCTTTAAGTTTACATTAAGGGACCAAAAAAAAGGTTGTTATCTGTAATGAATAATTCAATCAACTTTTGTCTTAACCGTTATTGTTTTTGAATGAAATCATGTCTTGGAAAACCAGTGGATTCGGAATTGGACTGACACATCAAGAAATGTCCAGGATTGATCTTTCTCCTATTAATTTCACTTGGACACAGAATCAGCTTTGAGAGGATAATGAAAATGCAGGGATATTGGAGACTGAAGTCAAGATGAATTAGCAGAAGTCAGCATAAAATTTTCATAATATCTGCTCATGCTATCACTGGCTTAGGTCAAATTTATAAGGACCTTCCTGTCTTGAATACTTAACTTCCCACCAAAAAAATACAACATAAGAAGAAATAGCATTTGGAAAGTCTATTACACATATTGTTGCTGACTCCTGAAGACCTGGCTTCATGATATGGAAATCTTTTTGTCTTTTAGGAAACACAGCATTGCTGAGTAATGTTAAAATAAATAGTCTTATGCGAAATGATTTACAATGCCACCGATAATCATTACAGCATCTCTGATTATTAATGGAACATTGATAGGTCCCTGAAGAGTTTCTTGCTGAATCAGCTTTTGAAATAAATTGCTTACTCTCCAGCCATAGCCGCACCCAATAAAAAAGGCCTCCATGTCTTAACTGAAGTAATTGATTTAGGCCCGTTAGAGGATACATGAAATGCACAACACAAGATCCTTTATGGGTTACTACGTTTCTGTTAATGGAGTTTCTTTTCCATTGCTGCATAACTAGTTAGCCTTCATAAGTCTATGCACATATTTCTCATACTATTCATATTTTTAATATTATATTCATTATTGATATTTTCATACTACTGATATTTTTCAGGAATCTTTTCCTGAGACTATTAACTATTCCACTTTTTTTTTTGTTTTTCCTTTTAACACATATGTGTTGTTGGAATACTGAAAAACTAGCAAAATATATGAAACAAAGATGCAAGTAGATCCTCAAAGAAAACATTCAATGTAAGTTCAAAGAAGCATTCCGTGTAATCAATCTTGTGAAAAAAATGCAGAAAAACAAGAACAAAAGGAAGGCTAATGACTTTTCAAGACAGCTGCTTTCATCAACTAAACAAGAGTTGTAGTTCTGCCAATTAATAGTAAGGTCCATTAACCATAAGTCATAAAAGGTATTTGCCATGTAAAACACTCATTTTTCTTTGCTGGCTCTGACACTTTGGTACAGCAGTATGTTAGGGTATCATCAGAAGGACTGGTGATCTGTAGCACGAGTGGACATAGATTCTCAATGATTTGACAACATTGTCAGTTGAAGAAGCTCCCTTTTAAAAAATAAACACACAAAAGACATTATTCCAAGTTCATGAGAATGTTAAAAAAAAAGAAATACAGAAAGTTGTAACTAGTAATGAGAGTGATGATTTAGCAGCTGTAGTATGAAGGGTACAGTAAGGACTAATAGGTTGAAGCTAAGTAAGGAAAAAGACTGAAGATCTAGTCTGAAAATGCAGAAAGGAAGGTAAACTCACAAAAATAGCTGGGACTCTGAGAACTGGATCGAGTGGTTCTCTGTTTCTCTCTGTTTCTTTTTTCTGCTGCATGCTCAAGGCTTTAGGTTTGCCATGGCTAATGAAGTTATCAGTCAAGTGAGTCAAAAACTACGGTATTGCCATTTTTTGAGGTTCAGAACAACCTTAGGAAGGTGCAGCAGGGAACTACAGGGATCAGAGATACCTTGGTTTATCCAGCAAGATTTTAGATCCAGACCCTTTTTCAAGATCTTGCAATGTCACAGCAGTGTCCAAGCTCTTTGGACATTAGCTACAGTCTATGGTATAAGATAGGGTGAAAGAAGAGTACTGAAAGAGAGAGCTGTGAGGGCAGAGTTAGCTATGTTAAAAGATTTTCCCTCTTTGTTTTTACTCAACTATAAAAAAATCACAATAGGTACCAATAACAAACGTTCATGGAATTGTTGGGACACACGTTCTATAGCAAGGAAACTTGGAGAGTACCATCAAAAATTAAAAAATATATGCCAGATGTGAAGGACTGTGTTTCAACCATAAAAGTATGCAAAACTCATCAGAAAAAGACTGTCATTGGAACATCTTAATTACTGACCTCAATGTCTTTCTCATAGGAATCAAATTCTAAACATGCATGATCATTTGTAGGATTACCATTGGATTACATTCTTCTCATGGCAGGGGACAAATGTGTGTATAAGCGGGCACAACATCTAGCAAAAACACTACCGAACTTTCCCTGGCCCAATGTAGGAGGCCCCTTAGGAGTCCTCTGACAAGCGCACATCCTGTTATATGACAGAAGAGCAGCGATGACACAAGCATGGGTGCTTTTCCAATAATAGTATAACACTGTTGATAAATATTCAACTTGTGAGTTGCTATAACCTCAACATCTTTTTCAGCAAAACTTCTGCCTAGTCAGCTCTTTCCCATCTTATATTAATGCACTTGATTTTTCCAGATTACATGCAGACCTTGCATTCTCCTTTTTGAAGTTCATCCTGTTTTCCAGACCAGCTGTCTCATTTGTCAAGATCATTTTGACTGCTACTCCACCAGGTTTGTGACATCTGCAAAAGTAATAAATATACTTTATATTTCATCATCTAGGTCACTGAAGAAAATGTTAAAAATTACCCAGCACAGCACACATCCCAGCCAGAATCTCAGCCAACCATTTTCCAGTGTAACAGCAAACCTTTGACAATTATTCTCTGATTACTGTTTTCCGACCAATTTTCTCCAGCTTGCTTGGAATGTCATCTAGTCAGGTTTTCTCCAGCTTGTTTATGTCATATAGCAATGTAAAACTCTTATTTATGCCAGCATTTTCAAGGGAACTGAAGTTAAACACTTTTGTATTGTTCATGTATTTGATATATTAAAGTTGATTACTTTTCTCTTGCATCTGGAAAATGACACATATTTGTACAAGAGACACAAAATGATGTTTTGAGAATTGCCAGTGAAAGAGCTGGGCAGTTCGGACACCAGGAAGCAAAGGTCAATTTGCATTCACATAAGACCGTTCAATTTTGAGCATGCAGTAAGTAATTGATATTTGAGTGTTTGCCCGCAAGACTGAGGATCAATATACATAGAGTGGAAGGCCCCCTCTCATCTCTTGTATGCCATATTATCATTCCCCTATGCTTCCTTGGTATACCTCAATAATGTATCTAGCAATAGTGTATTCATTGAAAATATTGGCTTAGAGATGCGCAATGAGTTAGTTGACCACGTTTTGCTCAGACTTCATAAGGAGTACGGACTGGTCAGTGATCTCTGTATAAGAGAGGGACTTCAGCTTTCTTCAGGGAGCTTCACTACTTCCCCCAGCCCTCTCAAACGGCTATATTACTCTAAATATTCTCTTCCACCATAAGCCCTCCAAAGGTTTCTTCCTTTGGCAGCTCCAGACACTATAGAGTGAACTCCTCTTTTGAGCAGCTCTGGTGAAAGAAGGTGCCTCAAATAGGGAAAGCTGAATAAAGATCAAGATTAACAGCAAAGCTATTTCCTGCTTCAGCAGTACCGTCGATTCTGTTTTGATCAAAAAACACACTAGATATTAATTTTGAACCATAATCAGAATGAAAGTTAGATATTCATCAAAGTATTAAAATAGTTGAAATGCTGTCAGTTTGAAAGAACAGCTTACTAAAAATAAAAGGAGATGAGATGGGTATTTGAAAACCAACCAACTTTTTTACAAGGCAAGGCTTTATGCATAATTAATATGCCACTGGGGGATTTTTCAGCAAATAAATATAAAGCTAAACTGTTCAATTAACAAGATATATTTCAGCTACTTGCTACTGCTTCTTCTAATAGGATACTCCTCTTCCCCAGCATTCTGGAATGTTATTGAAATTAGCTAAGGGTGAGATGAAGCTGATGATAGTTTAAAATATAGAGCTTGAAAACAGAGAAAAGGGGGCTTATTTTCACAAATAAACACACTTTTAATCTTGAAATCACAGTCTTTCTTTGCAATGGAGTTGAGACTGCTATATTGCTCAGATTTGTTCTGTGACGTGTATTTTTAATTGTCCTTAACATAACTTTATCATTTATATTCTGTACCTTTTATACCGCTTTTTGGCTGAAGCTAATACAATTTAGCTATGTTTTACATTAGAAATCATTCTCTTCCTCAAAACACAACGCACATTTTAATATGAGGAGCTGAAAATAAATCACCGTGTTAGGTCTCTCTCTTGCACATTATATCCCAAGCCGCCCATTGACTGCAATTACACTTGTGTACTCACAGAGCATGAGGCATCAGTCTCTTCAGAAATCAGTCATGAGTTCAGTCCTGCTAACTGCAAAGCTCCCTTGCCCTTCTGTTATCTTAGGGCCTTTGGTCGAGCTACTTGTGGGATTAAAGTTTCACCAGTACTTTCCGGGTTGATATGCTCAACTCTTTGTAGGATTAATCTTTACATTAAAAAAACAGGAAAGACAACATCTTCTGTGGGTTTTAACTGTGCCTGAAAGCTGCACAGACGCCTACAGTCTTCAGGAAAGACGACTACATTCCTAACTCCATTCCCATATACAATTCACATTCATTTGCCCCAGTGCACAAGCAAACCCTACCCAAGTGCATTCAAAATGGAATAGGCAATAGGCTTTGCAGTGCACTCTAAGAATGCTCAGTGCATCAAAAGGAACAGGAGTGCAAAACCCCGTACGGTAATTAAGCTTTACTGGGAAATCAAGCATATGTCATATACAATATGCTGTCTCTTCTGCTTCCCTTCCCCCTCCTCCCCCTCCTATTTTGGGTAGAAAGGAATCCACAAATAGAGTAAAGGGAAGATTTTAAGAAAATCTTAACAGCAGATACTGCACTGTAGAAAAATCTGTTGTTTGGATAATAACATTAGAGAAGGAATCCTTAACTGATACAGGAGAGAAAGAACTAGCAACCTCAGCAGGACAGCACAAAACACCTGTCAAAATAAAGAAATCTTAGTTAATCCACAGAAAGGATGATTGGGAAGCTCTATGAGAGAAGCAGAGCAATAGAGTCCTTATGAAATGTAGATGCTCAGGGAGGCAAGGCGGAAGGGAGGAATAAAGGCTATCTGCTCATTTAGTTTTAACTGGAATCTGAGATGGCTGTCTTTCCTACCATACATCAAACTGACCTCCGGAACTCAGGAACCAAAACAGTTCAATACAGACTGTCTGCAGTTGTTTTTTTTGATTCTCCTTTTCAACTCGTGCCTCATGGGAAACCTTACCAAAAAAAAAAAAATCAGTTTAGAAACAACTTTCATTATACAGCATATTTTCCTGATTATGAGGCACTTTAAGAACAAGAAAAAGCCATCTGCTGTAACTTGGCTGCTCTTTCCATTTTAGGTTAATCCACATTTCTGGCTTTTTCATCATCATTCCTAATTAAATCCTTCTCCAACACAAATTTAGATGGTTTTACAATTTTTATTCAAACCTTTGTATTCAATTCCAGTTCTCCTGGCAAAGAATCTGACAAATTCATCATCTCTTATATGAATTACTTCTGCCTAAACTTTCTACACATATACAATTTTCCATCTTTAAACCGATCTCTGGAGGAAAGGACTGCAAACTCCCACGTGACTAATAGCCCCAGCTTTGTGCTGGATGCTGAAGTACAAAGGCATCGTAGCATACCTTGAATCTTAAAAAAAACTGCTTGTACAGAGTTCCTGTGTGGAGCTTTCTGTTAACTTCTACTCTACATGTATAGGAGGCTACTGGAAGGAGCTGTCGCGTTCTGCTTTGTGCACTCAGAGCATTGCACCGTGCCCTGTCTCTTGGGGAGACATTTGATTTTTATTCTGCCTAGTTCTATCCATTGCCCCTTAATCTAACACAAAAGCATCTGCGCGGGGAGCAGTACGGCGGGAAGCACTTGCCCTGCAGTTCAACCACTGCCTCTCCTATTTCCGCCTTGTTAATGAACAGCGAAACAAAAAAACAAGCTGACAAGTCTGAGCTTCTTTTAGATATCACAGCGGGCACATGGCATGGCTTCTCCCAGGCATACTGATCGCTTTTACCACATTTATAGTACTCCCATAAATGCTTCTTGGAGCAGCTCCAGGCAATCGTAATTAATTCTCGGTGGGATGCTCATGGTGGTCACCCTGCATCCGAAAGGTCAGGACTTTGTCTGTGCCTTTACAACAGCAGTAAAAATTAAATACCCACTTTCCTCAAAGGTCATCATCAGCCGAATACACATAACGATCAGTCTCAGTCAGCTGCCTGGTCCCTGCTGTTTCTCATTATTTCTGCAGCTATCCTAAAAATTAAAAAGAAATACATAAACAAATGGAAACAGAAGCCATTTTCCGGTGTTGAGCTAATCCTCCGTCCGGTGCGAGCAAGTGACAAAGGCAAAACAGCAAAAGCGCCGTCGCCCCCGCCAACGCGCGCAGAGCCGTTCACCTGCGGGCGCTCCGGCTTTAATTAATCCCCCTGGCTTCTTAGGAGGGCTAAAAGAGGGACACCCAGGCTGGCACACATCTGTTGCGCAGGAGTTCAAGGTGAAAGCCCACGTAGCCCGCAGGAAAATGTCACTCCAGGATTTTCTCTCTTGACGGCGGCCACCGGCGCCTCAGCACCACGGACAGGGCGCGCCCC